CCTTGGTGGATCTCTTCGCTTCCCCTCTGAACGCCCAACTACCGAGGTTCATTTCAAGATACCCCTCTCCCGGGGCAGAGAACCACAATGCCCTCCGTTGCCCTTGGCCCCCAGGGCTCCTTTATGCATTCCCCCCCCATCCATCATCCCCAGGGTGATCCACAAGTTGATCCTGGAGCAGGCAGAGATCCTTCTAGTAGCTCCCTACTGGCCCAGACGCCCTTGGTTTGCGGACCTCCGCAACCTCTCGGTGGTTCCTCCCTGGAGGATTCCCCCAGACAGGATCTCCCTGTCTCAGGGCCCTCTATTTCATCCCAAACCCCAATGGCTCCAGCTAGCCGTTTGGAGGTTGAGCGGAGCCGCCTAAGGGCTCAGGGAATTTCTAACCAGGCCATAGACACCATCCTGGCAGCCAGACGATCCTCGACCAACCGCATATACAATGCCACATGGGCCGCTTTTCGTTCTTGGGCCCTCAAACTTCAAATTAATCCTCTTTCTCCTTCCATACCCCAAATCCTTGATTTCCTCCAGGGGGGTCTCGACAAGGGTCTCTCTACCAATACCCTGAGACGCCAGGTTGCTGCCCTCGCAACTGTTGTTCCCTCAGACGCTGGGGAATCCATCTCCCATCACCCCCTTGTCAAGACCTTTCTTAGGGGAGCTTCCAATCTCCGCCCCCCAACCATACACCGCTTTCCGACCTGGGACCTCAACAAGGTTCTGGTCGCCCTTACCAAGCCCCCCTTTGAACCCATAAGGGAGATTCCCTTACAGCTCCTCACCTTCAAGACCGTCTTTCTCGTGGCCATCACATCCGCCCGTCGGATTTTGGAGTTGGCGGCCCTTTCTATTAGACAGGATCTTTGTACTTTTCACTCTGACAGAGTCGTCCTCCGTCCCAACCCCACCTTCCTCCCTAAAGTAAACTCGGCATTTCACAGAAATCAGGAGCTCATACTTCCTGATTTTTGCCCCAATCCCTCTCACGAGAAGGAGAGACTGTGGCACTCTCTTGACGTAAGACGCTCCTTGAGGGTGTATATCACACGCACCCAGCCCTTTCGCAAGTCAGAGGCTTTATTTGTGTCCTTCCATCCTGCTTCTCTTGGTCACAAGGTGACGTCCTCAACTGTGGGCCGATGGATTAGGGCCGCTATCGCCAAATCCTACCAGGCTCAGTCCCTTCCCGTTCCAATGGGCATCACCGCCCATTCCACCAGAAGTGCGGCTACCTCTGCCGCATGGGCCACGCAAGCCTCCATACTAGACATCTGTAGGGCTGCCACCTGGGCATCCCCCTCTCCCTTTATCAAGCACTATAAGATTGATATATTTGCATCCGCTGAGGCTTCCTTTGGCAGGCGTGTCCTTCAGCGTGTTATCGAAGTTCCAGAAGAGGTTCCACCCCAGACGGGAACCCACCCGCAGGACTAGCCAAGCTCTGGTATGTCCCAACCTGGACGCTCGGAGCAGCTCCATGGAAAAGGGGCGTTGGTTCTTACCTGATACGCTTCTTTTCGTGGAGCTGCGGAGAGCGTCCAGCCCCACCCGTTAATCCGTCTGGTGGGGAACCTCGCCGTTCAGCCAAGCACATTAACGTTCTTTAGTTAGTATGAGTACAGGGCCTTCCTTTCTCGTCTTCGCAAAACTGGGACGCCGGAGGACCACGTGATGGTGAGAGGCGTTCCTCAATTTCAAGCTCAGCCTGTAGGAGCCGAGACTGAAGCACCTCCCAACCTGGACGCTCTCCGCAGCTCCACGAAAAGAAGCATATCAGGTAAGAACCAACGCCCCATCTCTGTGCTGTAACCTGCCTGTAAAGGGCCCAGACAATCTGTCTCCTCCTGGATCCCCTGGAGCTTGAAGCTCCACTGACAAGTATACTGTGATTCTCCAGAGAGCTGCAAGAGATGAAGTGCCAGAAGAGATGCCTAGAACACTAATGATGAAAAATTAAAAGCTGAAGACTGGGCAGAAACTGTCCAGGGCTTTGATACTTTCTTGAGGAAAAAGGCATCCCACAGAAAGACCCTCTCCCTCAAAGAAGCAAATACCACTGCATGGACCCAATTACAGGTCACCTTCTGGGCCTTTGACCAACCAGGAAAAACATTAATCTAACTAACAGATTAGCTACGCTCAGAGTTCCGGGGACCCAGTCCACTTCTTCAGCAGTCACAGCCATGTAAATCCTATATCCTAATCCCTGTCCAACTGGAGTCCAACTCTGAATAAATCTGAATGATTTTATCTGTCAGACAGCAAGAATAGTCCTTAAAACAGCATATTGACTCTTATTCAGGTTCAATCAGACTTGCTCCTAATCTTCCACCAATAGTGTTTCAGACAACTCTTCCGGAATTTCATCTCCTGCAACTCCTTGGAGAACTGAGGTGAATTGCAGGAGGGATATATAAGGAGAGACTGCAAAGGAGCAATCCAATTCAGGACTTCAGCTATTCTACCTACTCCACCTGAACTACAACCATATCTTCAGAGAAAACACCAAGGTGTCTCTGGAATCTATCCAGGTCCTAAAGTTTGTGAAAAAGTACTTCCATTTGTTTGTAATTGGAAAACTTCACTGAATTCTACAAGAAGTTTCTGGAAATTTGATTTCCTATATAATACCCAGAAAAGAATGAATTAAGTTGCTGGGCAACAAGCCAAGAAGATTTCAGCATCAGATCAGAATTTTAAAATAAATTATCTTTCAACAGTGTGAAATTACCAGCTATATGGCATGCAACATGACAACCTCCTAGAAAAGCAACAGACACATTCCCATAACAATCTAGTGCTCTTTTTGATTGTGTACACTCTTCAGGCACATGATTTTATTGGCTTATATTAATATGAATGATTACATTTAAAATAATATGCAATTTCTGCAAGTGAACTTGTTCATTTGCTGGCACCAAAGATGAGAAAAAGCAGGTACCATCTGAAACAACTTATAAAAGCAATATTGCAAGATAGTTTGATTAGGGAATTGATGCTGGCTCGGCCAGGAGAATGGGATTCTGAAGTTTCCTCTAATCTCATAGTAATTGTAGTTGTTATTTTTATGTCACACTTGATAATTTCTCTCTTATTAAATATGCAAATATATGTGTATTGTCCTGGGTCAGATATATAAGTGAGAGTGTTATTATTTTAATTCTTTTGTAATAAGGTCTATGGAGACTCTCAGTCACTCAGGTCATGGTTGTTCCAAAGGTGCTTTTTCAAGAGGCAACTGAATTTTCTGATTTTTTTTCAAAGACGTTTTGGTTCTCATCCAAGAAGCTTCCAAAAAAAAAGCAGAAAACCCAGAAAATCCAGTTGCCTCTTGAAAAAGCACCTACGGGACTTTTATTATAATATATTAAATTTTGAATTGCAAACTCCACAGGGTAAGTATGCATGCATGTATGTATGCATGTATGTATGTATGTGTATTGTATGTTTGTACTGTATGTAATGATGAATGGATGGATGGATGATGATGTACATATGGATGTATTATAATTCTATGGTCCATCATCTCATGAAATGTAATTTTGGGCAGTATACTATCAAACAATAAAAGCTATTTTTTAAGAAATTGAACAAATAGAAAAATTACAATTGTTATTAAAAAGCTTAGGAGATATCGCCAGATGCCACAAGTAATGGAACAACCTCATCAGATCACCACTTCCCTTGTGACCCTCTGGCCTGTTAATACAACCAGGATTTGAGGAACTTCTGGAAGTCCCATCAGCAGAGATAGGGCCAGTCTCACTTCAGGGCTGACGTTTCACAGAATAGGTGCCAGGGCAGAAAAGGTCTATCTCCTGGGTCCCACCAGATGTAACTCTTTGGCAGAAGGGCCAAAAACATACTTCTTCTGCAAGACCTCATGGGACAGGCAGATGTAACCAGATCAACCAGAACAAATACCTGGCCCCATGCCATGAAGGGCTTTAAAGAGAAAAACAGCACCTTGAATAGAACTCTGAAGCAGGCAAGGCAGCAGGTGGAGCAGGTGTGCAACATGTGCCACTCTAGGTGCACACATAACTGCCAACATTATATTCTGTAGCAGCTGAAGTTTCCAGAAACATTTTAAGGATGGCCCCCAATTACAATAGTCTGCCCAGGACACACATGAACATGAGCAGAGCTCCCTGATTCAGGAATAATTGCAACATAACACAAAGCTGTGCAAAGATCTTCCTAGCCACAACTGCCATCTGTTCTTTGTGCAAGACTCATGAGTCTAGGAAGACCTACATGATGAGAAATGGTCTGTCTGGTGCAGTGCAATCTACCCAGTATCAAAGATAGCATAGTTCCAAAACTGACACGCTCCATAAAAAAATCAGAACCATTCAAACTTTCTAGGGTTAAGTTGAAGCCTGTTGTTCTCCAACCACATCCTCATACCGTCCAGGCCCATAGCCTCCAGGCATTGGGATATGACATCAATAGCACTGTTTAATTTGCTAAAGGGCAGAAATGTATAATTGAGTATCCTCAGCTACTGATAATACCTCACTCAGCAGCCATGTAGATATTGAATAGGAGAGAATAAAGCACTGATTCTGTGGTACCTCCCATGATAAGTGCAGAGGACAGGATCTCTCTCTCCCCCCATTATCACCAACTGATATCAACCCCAGAGAAAGGAGGAGAACAAGCACAATAGAGTGCTGCCAATCCCCAATCCCCAGAGCTAGTCCAGAAGGGAAGCCATCAAAAACTGCTAAGAGGACATGGGCCACTCGTGTCCAACCTTTGCCACCTAACACTAATGCTATTTTCGACTAATGCTATTTTCATCCCACATTCGAACCTTAATGCTGCCTAAAAAAGGACTACGGTTACTTATAAATACTATTAAACAAACAAACAGATGTTTATACCACCTTAAATTTATCAGCCTTGATCTCATAAGACAGTTGCCTATCTTTGTTAGCTGTTTTTAACATGACAGCTGCCTGGTCATACTGGATTATTTAGAAATATATGTATCAGCAATACTTACAAGGTAATATGTTGGGGTATCTGTTTTTTTCTCTGTTTTCCTCTTTGTTTGCCATCTCAAGTGTTCCTTGCAAATATCCAGGTGGCAATGACTACAGAAGATATAAATTGTCTGACTTAAAACAGCAACCAATAACAAAAAGAGTTGATGATTAAAATACATTTTATACTTTATGAAATTTTATATTATCTATATCAGAATATTAATGGTCATACATTCATCCTGAAACTCATCTCAAAAATTATTAAATGCACCAAGCAAAGAACAAACTCTATTGCTAAGCTACATAAGCCTTTATTTTGTGTGTGTGTGATATAAACCTCTTATCTTAAAATGACTTACGTATTACAGATATCATAAATCTACCCTGAATAGGAGCTGTCTATTTTTACTTAAAATTGTTAAGTAATCTTCTTGCTTAGGTTTGTAAGTATTCATATTGGTAAATATAAAATATAACCGAAAGCAGAGTTAACAATAATAACTATAGAATTTAACTTCTTAATAGCATGCACTGAAAATAAGAATTTATAAATGCAATCATGCCCGTATAACTCTCTGATAAAGTGGAAATTAGTAAGGCTGTGCAAAGCTTTGGTTTTGTCACAATGCACTTTAATGGCACACTCAATTGGGTCAAAAAATAGCAATCACACAATTGAAGTCTTGTGCCTTTGCACATATGTGTGAAGTTGATGCAGGGGCAAAAAATGTAAAGCTTCATGCATACAAATGCAAATTGCAAACAGTGCTGAATATAAATTTATAGATGACTGTCTATAAGCAATCATATATTTATATCTTGAGCACATCCAGTGAAGGAAACCCATCATTTGTGGATAGTGGCTCCATTTTCAGACCATTTTTCAAAGGACTTAGAAGTCTTATTCTCTGATAAACCTCCCTGGTGTTCTTTGTAATGTTTTTGGAAATATTAAAAGTGTGATGCCCAGAATAGAACTGGACACTTGAGGGACCAGATCTATACAATATAAGGTAGAATGATATAATTTTCCAATTTATATAATATTTTTCCATTCAATCATATCCGATTCTTGGAGACTTTCTGTACAAGTCCCTTAGTATTTTTGGCAAGGGTTTTCAGAAGTATAATAAGTTTGTCATTGACTGCTTTCTAGGACTAGGAGGAAATGACCTGCCCAAGGTCACTCAACTGGCTTTGTGCCTAAGGCAGAACTAGAACTCACATTTTCAGTTTATAAGTCTGATGCCTTACTCCTACAAAAAAACTGGCTTTTCCCATTACTGAGTTAAAGAACTACTCATAATTAATACAGGCTGTAGTCACTGCAAACTTTATCCTGCCTCTAGTTCCAAATCATTGCTCAATGAGTGAAGCCAATCCAGACTTCATAGACAAGAGAGCTGGCTTTATCTTTTTATTTACTGCCAATCCATGTCACCAGTAGGCAACAGGGGAAACATCAACCAATCATAACACCGATGCCAGAATGAGGGCGTCTGGCTTTCTTTGGAAGGTTATTTGTCTACTCCTCAGCAGAGATCCCCCTCTAGATATTAGTTCAGTTCATTTTCAAAAATTAATATGAATTCAACATTAATTCAATTAATTCAAAGTGACACAGAAAGATACCAAGGCAGAAATATCCCTCAAAAGAAGAGAAAGATATTTCCAAGATTCTGCATTTGGTTAGGTCTTATAAAAGGGGAGAACTAAAATTGATAACTTGAAGACTTGAAACTAATAAACAACAAATGCAATTCTGTCAAAAAAATTACTGTGTATAATTTCAGATTTAATTTGAACCCAGCATACTCCTGGTCAATCGCTATTCCAGATCTGGACAAACACACAGGTCACTCAGTATAGCTAGGAGAGATGTGGGGGGGGAGGAGTGGGAGACAGAGAGAGAGAAAGAAAGGGAGGGGGCAGAGAGACAGGGTGAGAGAAAGAATGGAGAGACCAGGAGAGAAGGAAAGAGACAGGGCAGAAAGGGAGAGAAAGGGAGAGAGAGAGAGAGAGAGAGAGAGAGAGAGAGAGAGAGAGAGAGAG